CACACATCTGTAAGCTCAGCAGCTTGGGAGGCTGAGACAGGAGGATTGTAAATTCAAAACCAGCCTCACCAATGGTGAGGTGCTAAGCAACTCAGTGGGACCCTGTCTCTAAATAAAATATAAAATAGGGTTGGGGGTGTGGCTCAGTGGATTGAGTGCTCTTGAGTAGTTCATTCCTCACCCACCCACCCCCACCAAAAAAAAAAAGTGGTTACAGGGCTGTTCCACTCTTTCACCTATCTGAGCTGCTGAAAGTGACAAGGAGGCAGCAGGTGCCAAAGAGGACTTGTTTCCTCATTCCACACTATTCAACTCATCTCTCTAGCTGGTGTACTTTTTCCCAATGGGGCTGGTTCTGTGGTCTCTCTCTCTATAAATGAGGGTGAGGGTACCCATGCAGCTTGGTGCGACTGGGGAATTGGAGACTAGGAAGCCAGATAGTTCATTCTTATGCATTGTGGTCAGACTGTTGCTGGTGATACCCGTAGGTTTACCCTTCAAGTCCAGTTTTCTCTTTTTCCTTATACTTATTATCTCTAATTTATTCTCTAACTCTGTACCCTGTACTAAGTTTATTGTATTATTTTATTTTATTTATTGGTATTGGTGATTGAAGCTAGTAGTGTTCTACTACTGAGCTACATCCCCAGCCCTTTTTATTTTTATTTTTTGAGACAGGATTTTCCTAAGTTGCCCAGGCTAGCCTTGAATTCATGATCCTCCTGCCTCAGCCTTCTAAGTAGCTGAGATTACAGGTGTGCATCACTGCCACAAAGTCTGGCTTCATTTATATTTGGTACTGAGGATTTGGTATTGGGCACTTTACCACTGACATCCCCCCACCTTTTTTTTTGGCACGGAGATTGAATCCAGGACCACTTAACCACTGAGCCCATCTCTAGCCCTTTTATTTTTTATTTTGAGACAGGATCCCACTAATTTTCATAGAGTCTGGTTAAGTTACTGAGGTTGGCCTTGAACCTGTATTCCTCCTGCCTCAGCCTCCCTAGTTTCTGGGATTACAGCTGTGTGCCACCATGCCTGACTATTTAGATATGTGCCAGAGATTTATAGGGCAGGGTCTGATGGATAAAGGGGGAAGGTTGGTGCAGGATGGAAAGATTGGGTGGGAAGAGTAGCAGACAGCCCTACAGTTCTGAGAAACCAGGTGAATGGGTGAATCTCATGAGCAAAAGTTGCTCATTACAAGGATTCAGTGTCTAGTGAGAACAGGCTGGAACTATACCATCTTTGTGCTCAGATCAAACATGGGGGATTTTGCTGCTTCAGAAGCAACCATCTCCAGTCTCCTTCTCTCCTGGGAGTGGGGTGGATACATTATATCCACTCCCTACACACTTATACACTATAACTCTGAAATGACCAGGCAGTTTTTTTTTTTTTTTTATGACCTCGGATAAACCAGAGGTTTATCCACTGAGTCACATCACCAGCCCTTTTTATTTTTTATTTTGAAACAGAGTCTTGCTAGGTTGCCTAGGGCCCTGATAAGTTGCTGAGGCTGGTGTTGAACTTGTGATTCTCCTCAGGCAGGAACTCTTTTTTTTTTTTTTTTTAAATATTTATTTATTTATTTTTTTAGTTTTCGGCGGACACAACATCTTTGTTTGTATGTGGTACTTAGGATCGAACCCGGGGCGCATGCATGCCAGGCGAGCGCACTACCACTTGAGCCACATCTCCAGCCCAGGCAGGAACTCTTGAAGGAGGTCAGGCATTCTTATTTCACAGGAGAAATAGAGGTACAAAGAGAGTAAGTCACTTACCCAAGTTCTCATGGCTAATAAGTGGCAGTGCTGATGCCAAAGATGGTTTGATCCCAAAGCCCACTCTCTGGCCATTAGGCAAAAGATGACTTGTTTTTTAGGGAGACCTGCTATCTATGTTCAGGCTCTGGAATTGGGCATATCTACACGTAACTTGTTGCTCTGCTACATGTCAGCTGTGGCCTTAACTATAGTGGGGAGTCACCCTAGGTATTTATTGACTATTGAGATGAAGTCTTTTTTTAAAATATTTTTTTAGTTGTTGATGGACCTTTATTTTATTTATTTGTATGTGGTGCTGAGAATCGAACCCAGTGCCTCACACATGCTAGGCAAGCACTCTACTGCTGAGCCACAACTCCAGCCCCCAAGATGAAGTTTTATTATGTTGCTAAGACTAGCCTTGAACTCCTGAGCTAAGCTATTTTCCTGCCTCAGCCTCCTAAGAGAGGATCACAGGTGTTTGCCACCGCTCCAGGCTCCGAAGATACTGAGTTCAAATGCAGGTATGTGCTCTCACCTCATTCTGGAGTATATGTCTCTAATGGTTCTTTCCTGTCATCCCAACCCATCTAACTTTTTTCCTAAGCTTTAAGATCTCTGCCTTCAAGACCTGTGTCCTACAGTTTTCCAGGATCTCCTATAATTCCTTCAGTTTAGCCTCCTTACAGTGCAGAGATTTCAAACAGTTTAGTTTTTCCTTCTTTCTCCCCATGTTCTTTTAGGTAGCCAAAAACTAGGCCCCTGAACTGGGCATGAGTGTGGTAAAGCCATTGCTTGAGCAAAGTGGGGAAAAGAGAAACACCTCCACGTTTTTGTTGTAACCCCTTATTACTATAGTTTGAGAAAAGGGAAAAAATAGAGACTGGGGTGGTGGTGGAAAGGACTGGTCTTTTTACTCAAAGTCTGAATCTTTCTCTGAGGTCTGTGAGGGAGTAGATTAAGTCATGGATAGAAAGGCATGTTATTTATCTATTGCTCCATAAAAAATAACAAAACTTAGTGACTTAAGCTTACCAAATTTTATTATACCACATTTTTTTTTTGTGGATTAGGAACTCAGAAGAGGCCTACTGGGTGATTCTGGCACATGGGGGTCCTCACATGAGGTTGCAGCCATCTAAGGTTTGCCTGGGGCTAGAGAATCCTCTTCCAAGTTCACGTATGTGTATATCAGCAAGAGGCCTTAGTTTCTCCCCACAAAGCTATTGATTTGAGGCCTCAGTTCTTCATCACTGGGAAGAACATCATGACATGTCAGCTGGCTGTCCTGAGAACCAGAGATTAAAGAGTAGAGCAGAAGCCATAATATCTTTTATGATCTAGCATTGGAATTGACACACCATTCCTTTCGACATATTCTATCAGTTATGTAGACCACCTCAGAGTGGGAGGATACTGCACAACAGTGTGACTATCACGAGGAAGAGATCACTGGGAGTCATCTCAGAGACTAGCTACCACAGGAGCAGAAGGACCTGAAAAAGGAAGAGGAGCTGGGCATGGTGCATATCAGTAATCCCAGCAGCTGAGGCAGGAGGTTGCAGGTTCAAGGTTAGTCTCAGCAATTTAGCAAGATCTTATCTTTAAAAAAAAAAAAAAAAAGGCAGGTTCCAGATTCAGAACCTTTGACAATGACATTTAAAAAAAATTTTTTTTTTATAGTAGATGGACACAGTATCTTTATTTAGTTTTTATGTGGTGCTGAGGATCGAACCCAGTGCCTCACACCTAGGCAAGCACTCTACCACTGAGCTATATCCCCAGCCTAGACAATGACATTATTTTGATCTAAATAATATATTTCATTTTTATTGCATTTGTTATATAGTTTCTTTTGTGGGGAAGTGACATTCATTTAAAATTTACTATAGGAATATGAAGTTTCATTTTTATCCTTTATTAAAGACATCGATACACAAATATTAATAACACAGAGTAGGTCAGGTGATACTTGGGTATAAAAGAAATTGACGGTTCTGACTGAGGGTTAATGCCTCCCATCAGTCCTATACTGAGAAGCCAGTATAGAGTTCCAGCTTCAACTCAGTTCTGCTGTGGGTGCTAGTTGGGGAGAATCAAAGTTTACAACCACTCCTTTCCTACGTTCTTAAGCATTTTTCCTTTATCCAGTGAACTTTCCAGGTGTGGTAAGCAGTCTTGTAGGAACTAAGAATGAGGAGATTACTTTTAGCTTCCAGTTCTGTTCAACTGTCTTAAAAACCAGAGGGAATATGGATACTGTCTGTGTATCCCCTAATGCAACACTGTAGTTTGTGATTTTGGGTCTTCCGAAATTCCAAGATACTTCATCTTCACGTTGAAAGTTTCTTTCAGTAAGCTGGAGGTGTAACTCTGTGGTACAACGTGTGAACACAGGAGCCCTGTATTCAATTCCCAGCATTGGAAAAAAAAAAAAAATTCTGTGGTAAAATAAGCAGGACCAAAGTTTTAGAACATAATGGATGTGGCTGAGGTTTTCTACCCTGCAGGTTTTTAGGAGGGGGATAAATGTGGTTGGGATGGGGTTTCCGAATTGTGTTTTGTTATGTGTTCTTCTAGCGCGGTGAACCCAAGTGTACAAATAAGTGACCGGGGGAGGAAAAATGTCCTCAGTAACAGGACCAAGTTTAGTTGCAGAACCCTGATACCTCAGAGCTAGACGAACCACCTAGACTCCACGAAACCCCGCCCTTCGTTTCCTAACATTCCTTCACCGCAAGTTTGTCATTACCTCAAACTGTCCCTGCATTAGGTCACTTTGCCCGGTCACGTGCTCTGGCTCGCGGGAGCGCCACATCGCCAGCCGCACCCCTCCACCCCCACCCTACCCACGTGACCCGGCCTAGTTTCTCCGTGCCCGGTCCAGCGCTTCGCCCGGGAAACCCCGCCCCA